TGGGAGTTCGAGCCCCACGTGGGGCTCTGTGCTGACGGCTCAGAGCCTGGAGCCCGCTTCGGATTCTGTGTCTCCCTCTCGCTCTCTGCCCCTCCCCTACTCGCACTCTGTGTGTGTCTCTCTCTCAAATATAAATATTTTTAAAAATTTTAATAAAAATTAAAAAAATATCTCAGTGGTCAGTCCCTTACTGAAACTTAGAGTTTCTAAAGCCTCACAAAACAGCATGCCCCATCAGGTCCATTTCACAGACAGCAAAGCTAAGGTGCCAAGAGGTCAAGTGTTTGACCCACGGTCACACAGAATCTCAAGTCCAAGTCTTCTTATTCCAAACTGAACAATCTTTGAGGATCTTACACACTCAGTTTAGTCATTAGACACGGGGTGCACACGAGTCGTTACCACGGCTTCCTTACAAAGACGTGCCTGGGGCTGGTTGACAAAACCCAAGAGTGGAGACAGGCTGCCTACAAGAAGCCATTTTTTCCCCTCCAGAGGACAAGTCCAGGATCTAGAAAACCCATGTTTTGCGTATTTCATACCTTTATTCCTGACCTCTACTCCTACTGACTTAGATCTGGTTCCTAGAAATGACTGGGGCATTTCTACCCCAGATCCACCCCTGGGCACATGGCCCATTCTCCTGGAGCCTCTGGCCCCAGCTGTTGATTCTAAGACTTCTTAGAAACCACCTTTGCTCACCTGGGTTGACTCTTACCCAGCAGCTCTGACACGGCTCGGTGGGTGGCCCTCTGCTGTGACAGTTCCATCTTTTCACACCTCACTTCGCACACCCTCTACCTCTAGCTTCTACGCACCCGTCAGTCTGAACCCCAGAATTTCCCCCCTAAAGCCCAAGCTGTCTCTTGCTTCTGGGTCCATGCACCACGCCATTCTTCATCTTTAACACTGAACTGTGAATAAGTAATATCCACACGACTCACAAACTTTCTGTTACCCAAGAAGGTCTACCCGCCTCCCTTCCCACCTCCGAAGATACGTAACCCCTTCTATTAGTTCCTCGTATGTCCTGTCAGTTCCTTCTTTTAAAATTTTTTTTTAATGTTTATTTATTTTTGAGAGAGAGACAGAGTGTGAGCGGGGGAGGGGCAGAGAGACAGGGAGACCCAGAATCGGAAGCAGGCTCCAGGCTCCGAGCTGTCAGCACAGAGCCTGATGCGGGGCTGGAACTCACAGACCGTGAGATCATGACCTGAGCCGAAGTCGGACGCTTAACCGACGGAGCCCCCCAGACGCCCCACATCCTGTCAGTTTCTTGATGCGAACAGAAATAAAACTTAAAATCTGTATTTAATGTTCAATTGCTTCATCCTCCTTTCCACACTATTACACATCTTTATCAGCTCTATCTTGGTGAATCTTTCCACCTCCATACAGAGAGTTTTCTTATTCGTTTTACCCACATAGTGTTCCACGGTATGGATATACCATAATGTGGCTAACTTTTGATAGACGTTTCCAATGTTTTACTACTGTAAACAATGCAGCAATGGATTGCCATGTGCTTAATTTCTCCCATGTGAAACTATGCCTATGGGATGAATTCTTAGAAGTAGGATCACTAGGTGGTCAATCAATATGGGCATATTGATACATATAACTAAGTTGCCTTCCAGAGAAGATTCTGGAAAGTATACCAAGCTACACATTCACCATTGATACACAAGTTCCAGGTTCCTGACAGCATTGACACCAGGGTATGTTATCAAGACTTTCGGATTTCTTCTAATCTAATGGATAAAAAAATGGTATTTCAATCTGATTTTACTTTGAATTTCTATTTTAGAATAGAATGATGCTGCACACCTTGTATTACGTTAGGCTTGTTTGTATTTCCTTTACTCATTTACTTTTTAAGCTTTCCTTCGTACCCCTCCCCCATCTTCTTACTGCATTCTTGGTCTCGTGCTAGTTGATTTATAGGAGCTCTTTCTATTGGCAGTAATCTTCCCATCGGTTCTTTGCTCCCTGACTTTGCGATTGGTATGGCTTATGACCTGCTTACAATGTTGCTTGCCACAGAGTTAGTTTTTTCAGTGTAGTGGAATCGATCAATCTTTTCTTTCAGTCGGGACTCCAATTTTTCTGGTTATACTACAGCTTGGACACAACTGGTGTGACGGAACGTGAGTACCACGTCAAGCGAGAAAAGAAAAGTAAGGAAAGAACGTAAATACAGAGTTGTTTTGGTCAGTCTTTAAAAAAAAATGAAAGTCTGAATAAAAAAGAGTGGTTGGTCTTTTGTTTCTTAGAAATTTCTATCATTCTTGAGGATTTTCCTCTGAAGAAGAGAGAATATATAAAAGAGAGAATATATAACCTCAATGGTAAATAGTATAAAGTCTTTGCAATCCTGAGGCTTGATGAATTTATGAGAAGTCCCACATGCCTAATTCTTGTACTGGAAAAATATATGTGAATTAGCTTTTTATTTAGTGTCATTGTAAATGAAAGTGCTTATAATGAGTTATAAATTCCTTAGAACAATGTAGATTAAACCATAATAATTTTTACTTTATACGAAGGCTCCAGGTTATACTTGACTACATAGTACACGTTCATCTTCCCCTTGATCAAATTCAACCCTGCTAGAAATAAGGGCTTTAAGGATACACAATTCATTTGATTAGAACCTTAGAACAAACCAGTATATGAAGGAAAGTAGGTGACATTATGCCTACTAGGGCAGTTTTAAATCCGGTCATTTAAAAGATTACATCAAATTCAGAAAAGACTATGTGCAATTTCCTATTCAATCATCACTTCCTTTTGAAGTGGGTGTAAACTTTCGCATATTTACATTCTAGTTCCTTTACCTGAGTGTGCTAGTCTAGTAAGTAAATTAACCAGCGAAAATCTAAAATAAGACGGTCTTGGGGGCACCTGGGTGGCCCAGTAGGTTAAGTGTCTGACTCCTGATCTCAGTTCAGGTCATGATCTCACAGTTCGTGGGACTGAGCCCTGAATCAGGCTTTGCACTGACGGTATGGAGCCTGCTTGGGATTCTCTCTCCCTCTCTCTCTCTCTCTCTCTCCCCCTCCCCTGCTCACACACTCTCTCAAAAATTAAAAAAAAAAAAAAAAAAAAAAAAAAAAAAAAAAAAAAGTCCTGCTTCCAAACTGTTAGCTGCTAGAAACAACTGGGTTGCAGGAACACGGTATGTGTCATCGCAAGAGACTAAAGTTTTACCGGTTCTGAAATTTCAGACATCACTGGTTTTCAAAGTCTAGATCATTTTTTCCAGCAAGACTTATAGCCTATATTAAGAACATGCAGCTTTCACACATTACCTGGAAACTGGTGGTGAGCAGAGTCGTGGGCTAGGGGAGGGGGATGGAACAGGACGGGGAGGGGGGAGGCTGTGTAGCAGGGCATGGGGAGACTATATGGAGACATTGTGGGGAAGAGAATTCAACCTCAGGATCCACGACTGAGCAACTCAGACATTCCTAGGTGGCCACACTCTCCCCCTCTGTCAACCAGTGAATAAAATGGCCTTTTTTCTTTTCTTTTCTTTCTTTCTTTCTTTCTTTCTTTCTTTCTTTCTTTCTTTCTTTCTTTCTCTCTTTCTCTCTCTCTCTCTCTCTCTCTCTCTCTTTCTTTCTTTTTTGGAGAACTGACACTCTCCTGGCTGACAAGGCTCACAGATTTCCACAGCAGAAAGAAGTGTCTGGAAGAAAAGGATGAAGTTCTACGGAAGACAGCCTGCATATTTCATTCGAATGAAAGGCCTTTAGAACAAACTTGGTTTTAACCTATCCCTATACACATACACAACCAACTAACAAACAGAAACTTCCGTCTAGACTTGAAGGCGGCCAATGTTCCTTCTTATTCTCCAGAGCAGGAAACCAAGTGAGTGATGAGCCTTCCTGGGTGCGGAATCTCTGGCCATCATCTCACCAAAGATCCAGCAACCTCCTTCCCTGTTCTAAAATGGTCAGGGATGAAGGAGTGGAATATGTCATGTCCTACGGATGAGGGAACTTGGGAACAGGTGGCCCTGTGTGTGCTCCGCCATTTCGCCCCAGGGAGATGCCAAGAACTGACTTCCCATCAGCTTCCTGGTTCTGGACCCAAGGCTGGGAAATTGATCTTTCTTTTCAATGTTAAACCACCTCTACCTGAACGTCCTGTCACTTGAGAGGCAGGAGGAAGGAAAATACATCCGTGGAAATTCTCTAAAAAACATAAATGTGAGTTGGTATTTCTTTTCCTACAAAGAGCCAGAGGAGGCTCCACACAGGAAAAAGAATTCCTCAATACAGGAAAAATGAGAGGGGGGAAAAAAAAAACAAAAAAAACACAACCCAAACAGGTCTCTTCACATTCCACCTGTGAAAAGTGGAGCCTTAACAGTTATAAAACCAAAGGTGTGCTAACAAAACAAACCCGCTCCCCCCTCCTCGGAAGGGTCAATCCTGCTTTTCAATAGGTCTTTGCAAAGAGGAGCCCAGCACCAGCCTACACGGGATCTCCCGGGGACTCAGAAATGTCAGGTGAACCAGTGGGAGAGCTTTTCACCTAAGTGCAGCAAACTTCTCCTCGGAACAAAGCTTGGTCCCGGAGGCAGAGACGGGTCCACATGGCCCGGTGACAGAGATTTTGTCTCCCGGCCCGCTGCCACAGCGTCACAGCTGAACCCTTTCAAGGGGATAGGAGACGATCAGACCCAGGAACTGCTTCCCCACAGGGCTCAGTCGGGCACTGAGGCAGAAAAGTGACCGGGACGGTGAACAGCACGGGCTCTTGGGCTCAAGTGACCTGCACAACTTTTTTTAATAATAACGATGATAAAGATAATAATAAGAACATCATCATCATCATCATAAATATGAAAGCCGCTCTAAGCCTCAGTTTCCCGGCAGCTGCCAAATGGACCCAGCAACGGCACCTACCTCCCAGGACTGTTATCAATATTCAAAGACACCCAGCTGCCACTCCGCAGTCATCTGGCGAGTAAGCCAATGTCTTCACACTTGGACGAACACCCCACAGCAAGGAGGACGGACACACGCGCGACGACACGCGATAGGGTGGGTCTGGCGAACGCAACGCCGAGAGAGGCCAGACACGAAAGGAGTGCGCATGCTGTATGACGGCGTTTACCCAAAGCTCAAACACAGGCAAAGCAACAGGATCGGTAGTGTTCAAACACAGGGCGGCCACCCTGAGCTGGCGGACCGCGCATCCGACCGGTCCCAGGCGGGCCGGACCGGTCACCGGCACAGGTGGGCCGCTCCCCGAGGACGCCTACAGGAGCGGCAGGCAGGGAGCCCGAGAGACGTGGCCCTGCTTCTGGAACTGAGACTCCATCCGTGGAGGATCCACGCTGAAGCACACGCCCCGTGGCCGCGTTCAGGCAACAGGTGGAAGGAGCCTCCGGCAGCAATCACCTAGCTTAGGCATGTCAAAACCTGAGGTCCGGTGGGGTGGGGGGGTACACTAGGTTTTTTTTTTAACGTTTATTTATGTATTTTGAGAGAGAGATAGGGAGCGAGCAGGGGAGAGGCAGAGAGAGAAAGAGGGTGAGAAAGAATCCCCAGGAAGCTCCACGCCGTCAGCACAGAGCCCAACTACAGTCTTGAACCCACAAACCGGAAGATCACGACCTGAGCCAAAATCAAGAGGCAGACACTTAATCACGGAGCCACCCAGGCATTCCAGGATTTTTGTTGGTT